CCCCATGTGCAAGCAGGTGGGCCCTGCTGAGAAAATCAAAGCCTCGCCGGAGCTGGCGGTGCAGGGAGTCCTGTCCCAGGGGACCCTCAGCTCTGGGACCCTTTGCCAGTGGCGAGGGTCCCTTTAGCTGCCCATTTTCTGCAGTGAGAAGGACACGAGTGAGGATGGCCACCTCGCCACCCCATCAGCCAGGACCCCTTGGCTCAAGCCCAACCCCGGGACCATCAGCTCCTGACCTCAAGGAGGGCTTTGCCCCCTGCTTGAACAGAATGAGCTGCTCTCAGACCTGTTACTGGCCAAACTGGGACTCACTGGCCTGTGCCAAGAGCCTTTTGTGCATGTAACAAGCAGAAGAGCTCTGGGTCCAAGGCAGGCACCTCTCTCCTGTCCCGGAGGGATCCGTACACCGGCTGTGCTGCGCTAACCCAGTCCCCCAAGACCTCCCCCGCCATTTGCACCCCAAGCCTGCAACCCCACGCAGCGGGTGGGGGATCCCTGTGCCCCCCGACACGCGTTTAAACCGCTAGCCTATCCCCTGCCTCCTCCTCTCTGCCCGCCAAGGGCTTTGCTGTAGCAGGCAGGCTCAGGAGACTGAGCTCCGCTCGGCAAACCCTTCCTCTCCGTCTGCAAGAGGGACAGGAGCCGAGCAGAGGTGCCCAAAAGCACCAGGACAATGCTCGGTGGCTCCCACTCGCCTGCCCTGGCCGGGCTTTGCCACCCCAAAGGGCTCAGCTCTGCCCTGCCTGAGGGAACCACATCCCAGCCAGCACCTGCGGGGACTGGGAGATGCTCCCCGAGCTCAGCCAGGGAGGATGATGGCACGGAGAGGACAAACGCTTCTCCAAGAGCAGGGCTGGTGGGTAACTGCAGCGGGACCAGAACTACCCGACATCTCTCGACACGTAGCTCGCAACCACAAGACCGTCTTTCCTTCCTGTGCAGATACACACCTCTGTGCACACGTACATACGCACACGCTGCCTTGCATAGGAGTGTCCGTGCAAAGATCTCAGCTGCTGCACCCAACAGCTTCCCACGCTTCGCCATCCCGCTAAATTTACTTATGCAGCCGGCTGGAAGTCGGTCGGAGGAGTTAAGCCCCCGGCTCCGAGGGCTGGGTCGTAGGAGCGAACGCTGTGAGCGCCCGTTCCTCCCGCCCTCCTTGAAGACCCTTCTTGCAGCAACGGCTTTAACACGTTACTGGTCCAACCTGCCAGACTCTGGATTTCTTCCGCACTGAAGCGACGAGCAGAAACGCCGCTGTTGGCTTGTGTAGGCTGGGGCAAACGCAAGCCAGTGCTCGACAGCAGTGGGTGATGGAAATGAGCTCTCCCCGGATCTCGAGGCCGGTGGAAAGTTATCCAGGATTGAGTTTTGTCATGGAATGGCGCAGCCCAACCCACCGCCGGCCCGTCTTGGTGCTGAAGGCGGGTGGAAAAATAGCGAGGGGCAAATCTCCCTTCCCTTCCGAAGCATCATCCTGGGCAAAGCCACTGCAGAGACGCCGTCCCCAGCATCCCTGCAGCCCCTGCACGGGGGTTTGCAGCTCCCCCAGCCCCCCTGCACTCACTCTCTAGGAAATCGCTGTTAAAATTGGGGTCTCTGCAGCCTCGGCAGGAAAGATCTTGCGAGATAAGTGCTGCACGTGTTCATGCCAGCGCGTTCGGGGCCAGCAGCGTGCCTGGGCTGGGCTCAGGAGCCAAAGCTGGGCTGCAGGGGATGCCGTGAGGGGAGAACAGCAGCCCTCCTCAGGGATTAGCAAGGGGAATTAGGCTCTGGCCTACTTTGGGATTTTCTTTAATTCCTTCAGGTATTTCTGCAGTTTTAAGGGGTGAGCCTGGCTCGCAGGGCACACGCGCAACGAGGCTCTGGGGAGCAGCCGAAGGCTCTCGGCTGCGAAAGGACAAAAAAAAGAGCAGTAGGAGTGCGGCTCCCGCTGCTTCTCCTCCAGACCCTGCAAACAAAACTCTTAATTTTGGGGCAAAACATTCTCCCCCCCACCAAGCCCAGCACATTCCCTGCAGTCCATCCTGGGGGAAGCCCTGTAAAGTGGAGGGAATAGAGGAAAAAGAGGTTTCTTTGCAGCGTTTCACAACTCATCTTACAGTGACAGCAGCTGCCAAGTCCTGACGCAACATCTCCCCGTGTTTTGCATGTTTCTAGCTCCGGTCCTTCCTCTGCATCGCAGCCCCCTGCTCCAACCCGCATTTCCAACCCCGGTGCCAGCCTAAGAACCACAACGGGACGTTTACACGGCAACAAAAAAAGGAGTCCCATCGTTTGCAAAGGGGAAAAAAAGAACCCCAAACCCCAACAATTATTGTCAAAGCCAAGGTGGAACCTGTCAGATTCGACCAGACCCTGTCTCAGAGGCAAACCAAAAGGTTTTTAAAGCCACGATGGTTTTGATGAAGGGCTGAATGCAGGAGCCCTCTGCAAAGCTGCTAAGGGGCTGGGGGGGAGAGGGGAAAGCAAAGATTTTTTAAGAGCACTGTGTTATTTCTGGCCAGACCACTGAGGAGTTTTAGTTTAAAAATGGTCTGTCTTTACCTACCGACCCACTGCCTGAACAGGAAGCAGAAACACGGGTGCTCCAGCAAGCGAGAAAATACAAACCGAGTTTGGGCTGTTAGTTGGGCATAAAAAGCATAAGAAACTGAAAATAACTTAAAATTAGATTTTGCCTCGTTTTCACCTTGAAAACACATTTGAGCAGGAACTCCCCCCCACTTTTTATTAAAGGGAGACAAGACAGAGACGGAGAACGTCACCAAAACCAGCATGGAGGTGGCAGCAAGGTCTTATTAATCTCAACATTTAACAATTTCTCCGCGGAAACCCAGGGGTGGCATAAAGCATCCCCGGAGCCGCTGTTCCCCTCGCAGCCCACCCACGAGCCCCGTGCCGGGGCCGTCCGAGCCTCCCCTCGGGAACTCACTTTCAGTTGGGATTTGGAGACCTTGCCGCTCTTCTCCACGTCCAGGGCGGTGAAGGCGTACCAGATGGACTTGAGCAGCTCCGCTCGCAGGTCCATGGCTACAGGCGGGGG